GTTTGTTCTGAACATTCAGTGTTAATATATAAATGAGTTGAAATGTTTGTCTCAGTGTACATACCACGTGCTCCCCTGATGGAGGCCTGTATTTGCACCAGATCCCTCTCACAGAGGCCTGTGTTTTCCCTCGTCCAGTTGGGTGCTGGATTGGGTTTTGTTACTTTTTTATCTCAGCTTCTTTGTCTAAATGGAAAAGGAAGAATGTTCTCATTTACAAGTTAAAACTAAAATAGAGATCTTCATCTGGATCTTCTATTAAGAAACCCTTCAGAAATGTATGATGTAATGTCAGTACCTACTAAATACAAAAACCAGGCTACACTGCACCTCATAGATGAAAACCAAAGAGGGGCTTAAGCTCGCAAACACCTGAGTTGGTTTACTTTTAAAGCTGTGAGGATTTTTACTGTTTTCCAGTGCTTCACAGAAGCTTGAAGTGAAATAATCCTGGAGCTCACTTGCAGAAATAGACTTACATTAAGCCTGCTCACTTTCAGCTGTGAAGGGCACTGCCACCACAGAAACTTATCAAAACCTAGATCAATGACAGAAGAGTGACAGAGGAAATGGGGGGAAAATTGCACCTGCTTTTCTCCTTTTCCTTTTTTATTCTGTTCTTTCTCCTTTGGCAGGGGTTGGGAATACAAGAAGAGCCGGATCAAAATGTCAGTACTAAGTAATGGCACAAAACCCATTTGATTCCCTGCTTTACTGGAAAGGGTTACATCCAAGACGTGTGCATCTCCAAACTGCTTTAACTGATTTAAATGTTCCTAGCATGGTAGCTAAAAGGTCCATCTAAACCAGTGTCTGTTCTCCAACAGAGGGCAACATCAGACTTGTAGCAGAGAGGAAGAATGCTAGATGTCTGAGGGCTCCTGGCTCACTGTGTGGGCAGGGAACTGAGGTCCAGATCCAGGATGCTCGATGTGGAGCTAGTAAGTGCTGAATAGTAGGGTTTAACCCTTCATACATGTGTTTCAGAAATCATATCAGAGCTGTAAAACGGCTGCTTCTTATGTAGGAATAATATTTGACAACTTGCCTTGAGTGAAAATCTGCTCTGAAGAGAGTCTCTTTTTCATTCCTAAAGAATTGCCACTGACTTCAGGGTGAAACAGAGCCTGTTTGTTCTTAAACTCTTTGAAGTATAACAAGTTGCCAATTCTTATTTGCAGGAGCATGAAGAAAGTCGTCTTATTGCTTTGTGCGCAGCCTGTAGACTTTCCCTCTCAACCAAGCTCTTGAAATCAAGGTGAAGTCTATAGCTGTCACAGTGAATCACTGTATGCAATTCCTAGTATCGAGCGAGGGGAAGGAAGCTGCTTCTGGTCTTGTGAAGTGAGGCTTCATATGAATGGGGCTTCATGATGTGACTGAAGCCTCACAGGAGAATGCAAAGGCATGGGGCTGCCAAGTTTTACTAGCATTTGCTGAGGAGGAGTTTAGTTGTTAATGACACTGGGCAGCAGATGCTCTTGGAAGAGTTGTTAAGACACTGTGGATCTTACTGTAAATATGTGGGTGAAGGGAACCGGGATGCTGACAGTTCATTCTCACAGCTCATCATGAGAAGGTGACTCGAGTGGAATTCGGTATTGCCAGAACATGAATTTCTTGGTATTTGGCAGTCTGCTCTATATCTGGGAAGATTTTTGCAACTCAACTGTGGGAAGATGGTGGGGATGCATTTAGTCATGTAAAGTTCAGACCAAAGAACGCTGTATGCCTCGTCAACCTTTCCTGAGCATTGCTGGGCTGCTGCACCTGTGCAGTTTAGCTACAAGAGCAGTACAGGAATTAATTTCAGGCTTCTGCTCTTAGAGTCCATAAAGCATTCCCCATGTTACAAAGCAATCTGAATTGTTGAATCAGAAAATAAGCCATTACAGGGAGAAGTCTTCTCTCCCTTTCCTCCAGCCTTGTCTTGTGCTACTCTCTCTCATTTCCTTCTCATGAGATACCTCAAGCCCCTTCACCCAAACAAACAAACAAAACCAGTTGTGGGTGGGGGCTTTGTTTTGATTTAGCAGGTTGACACAAAGCATTTCATCTAAATCCTTTGCTAAATATTCAGTCTTTCCCATAATCTGCTTACCTGTGCAGCTTTTAGTATGGCTTGTAGAAAAATAATAATGGCAAGTATAATGGAGTAGCATCCTAAGAGTGATTCACAACATGAAATTCAGTGTGTGGGAATTACACAGATAGATCAGAAACCTAGCAGGCAGCGTGCAAGGGTACAGCTTCTGTTGTTCGCTAGGGACACTTACTCACACCCATACCCTGACTAAAGAAAACTAAATTAAAAATCTCTGATGAACTAGCCACTGGAAGTTAAGTTTTCCCCTGTGCTTGCAAGTGGGATGAGTGGATAGGATTTGAGACTGCAGCTGTGTAATAACCCATTTAAACTGGTTCTGTCTGATGCTGTAACCTTCAACGCAAGCACAGCCTTAGTCAACAAGTCTCTGGAAACCATTTTCTTCCTACTTTAATGTTTGGATACCATATTTTCCCAGATAGTTTTATGTCTTTTTTTGTCTTGTTTTTTGTTAAATCAAGACTTCTAAAGACTGTTCACCTTCTTCCTTGAACGGATTCCTCCCCTACACAATCTCTTAGCTTGTCAGAAATGAGATACAAGTGTAATTTATTCTTAATGGGAAAACAAGTTATTTTGGACAGGTTTTTGAAGGGGCAGATCCACTAGAGCATTGTCTTCAGTTGAAGGGCAGCTCCATAACTCTGTCAGGACCACATGGAGGGCACGTGGTTCTGTCCTGTTGCAGTCTGTTCAGGGATGCAGCATGGTCCTGCTGCTGCTCTGTGGTACAGAAGATCCTTGGGTAGCTAAATGCATTGTGAACGGGACTGACTAAATGGAAGGAGTCTATTAACCAGCACTGATTCAACTGAAACACATCTCAGGTATAGTTGGCTGGCTTCACGTGAGAGCAGCGCTAAGAAATTGTCTCCGTAGTCTGACAGTTTTTGTAGTCTGGTCTCACAGCAAGATCAGAAAAGTTTTATGGGGTTCCTGTCTTTGTAATAATGTTGTTCTTAACATAAGATGTATTTTCTCTTAGTTGGCTTGGAGAACTTTCAGCATCTTGGATAATGGCTTTTTAATTCCTTGGTCATTTTGTGATGCTTTTCAGCCTGGACAGTTGAAATACAGAAGCGATACATAGCCTGCTGATCTGAATTTAGGTTTGGTAAGTCTGGGCTCCTGGATGTGATGAGGCTGTTGTGTTCCAACAACCTTGCTCTGTGTTACGCCTAGCACAGCTTCTGTTATATTGAACTGATTTTTCTAGGAGACTGAAATCTCTCATACCATCAAAAAGGTCAAAAATTTCAGACCATTTTTTTTTTTATTAATTGTATCATCAGTACAACTAAAGGAGAATTGTTTGGTCTCTGAATTGTTTACGCTTTGTGACTGAACTAAAAAGTGTATTTGCTGATACTTCTGTTTCCTAGTCTTGCATAAACATAGCATCTCTTTGAAAAGAGCAGAAACATGGCTTGCCAGTCCATTGCATCTCATCAAAGTCAAATTACAAAGTCTAATTTCTGAAAGGAAAACATTTTAATAGTGGTAATTACTGTTCTGGTGAAATATTGAGGCTGGAAACAGCTGAATTATGTCAATTAAAATCCTCAGTTAACTTCTGTTGGGGAATAATTTACTGCAATGGTAGTAGTACGTTACCCTTGCCTTTCTGAAGGCACACAATTCTTGCCATCATTGAGTTACAGACACACATGGACTGGTTGGAATATACCACAAAGAGAGGGCTTTTAAATACTAAGATTTGCCTTAATGACTTTCTTAAAAAAAAAAAAAAAAGTACGTTAAAAATCTCCTGCAATGAATATGGCCCTCAACAGTAATATTTATATAGTGTAATTAGAGTGTTAGGGATCCCATTATTGTGAACAATGTAATTATGCTTGTAATCTAGTAAATATGACACACTGTAATGTTCTGCTTTGTAAACATTATTGAGTGCGTTTTAAGACTGAGATCACCTCATGCCAACAAATAAAAGGAAATCATAGCTTCATAAAAAACTTCTAATTATTTAGATGTGCACTTTGCGGGTTCCTGGTGTGGTTGAGGTTAAGACTGAACCAAGGGCACCTGAATATCGAACACAGGTGCCCACTTCAGTGCAAGCTATTTCCCAGCCTCCTTTTGTGTAAACTTCAGCTGCGTGTTTAAGTTTTTACTAAATTTAAGGGGGAGAGGGTGTGAATATGAACAGCTTTTTAACCTCACCTGCACAGGCACATCCATATTGTGCTTCTGCCTAATTTTTTGTATTTCTAGATAAGCGTATTGATTTGTGGCGAATCTAATGTAACCATGTATGTGTATTGAACAGTTATTCACTCATGAGAAGTAATCAAAAATGGGCTTGGTTGAACAGTTCATCTTTGAAGGCTGAAGTTAAATTTCTGTAACCATTGTTGAATATTAACAGATGGGAACTTGGATGCTAGATTATTTAAGCAGTAAGCAGAATGAGCCATCGCTCAGAATGAGGCTTCGTTTAAAGACTGAAATGCTTGGACCATCTATTTTTTGACTCAGATAAAGGAATGTTCCAAGTCTCTGGGGCTCTACTCTTTTGAGACCTGTGTGTGCTATACAGATGCCAAGGAAGGCTAGTTTCTTTTTGCTAGTCTATGAGAACATTTGTTGCATTTGTTTCTCTCATCTCTGGCCTTATTGTAAGATATTTTGACTATCAAAACTAGTAGTAATTTTCTGAAGAGTACAAAGTGATTGCTGTCAGCAGTGAGAACTGATTCCAGATAGGAGGCTTCTTTAATACAGATCTTGCTTTTGTTGCAATAGCTGTAGGATGCTGTTTCTACTGTCAGCAGCTATACAAACAGAACAAAAGACAGGTGCTAGCAGAGCATTTGTAGTCCATGTAGCTTGTTCTAACTGCAATATCGTACTGTGAAAACTTTTTTCACAGCTGTGCCAGCAAACATCGCAGACCTGAGAAATATAGAAGTGCTCAACTTTTTCAACAACCAGATTGAGGAGCTGCCTACACAGATTAGCAGCCTTCAGAAGCTCAAACACCTGAATCTTGGGTGCGTATCTTAATGCTAAAATTTTCTGTAATGGAGGTGCTGTCAAAAACTGTCACAACTGAACCTAGAATTTCTTATTTTTTTGTATTAAAGTTTTTTTTTTTTTTCCAAAGTGTTTGTGATGATAACTCAGCAATTACAGCACCAGAGTGTTTAGCGAGTGTGCTGGATGATCAGATACTTAAGAGTGATCAAGTAGTCATTCTGATATACTGATAACCTTCTAAGGGCAACAGCAACTCACATTCATCTAATATTGAATTTTACTTTCTTAACAGCTGTCACTTAATTCTGTGGATGCTGTGTAAGAGTTCTATGCTCTGTTTAAAAAAATAATAAAATTCAGCATTCTTTGTATTTTTTATATGTTAATTTGGGACTTTAGTTCCAAAGTCCCAACTTTTTAATTAAATAAACTTCATTTTTTTAATTAAACCTGTAAAAGAAGCACCAAATCTTTATTAAATACGATATGTATTTAATTAAGAGGTAGTACTTATTGAACTTCAGTCCGAGGCATTCCTGTCAAGTGTTCAGATACCACGTTCAAGTAGAATTGGTGATACTTTAGTTACAACTACAGTAACAGACGGTTTCCTTGAATTTTGAAGAAAATAAACCTGAACTACAGAACTTTTCTGAACTAATTGGACGCAAAATATAGCTACTTAGGAAAGCATTGATGGGGGGAAGCTTTAATTTTATAGCCTTTTCAGGGAAAGAATGTTCATATTATAAATTTGACACGTTTATAATACATTAACTCAAGATTTTGGGTTTTTACTATTGGAAATACCAAATGACTTTGACTAGGCAGTAAGTATCCTGCTTTAGATACTTTTATAAAGTGCTGATAATTGAATTGCATCCTGAACTGTTGGAATGTAAATAAACATGTTCGAGTTGATCTGTCTTCTATGGTCTTTATTTGGTCACTTTAGATCTCTAGCATGCTCAAATTCAAATAGTGGTCTTCACTTTTTTCCCCATTTATGTAGTGTGTGAGTCCATGTGGGATTAAGACCAGGAGACACCTTGGAACACTGTGCTACTTATCAACTGGCTTAGGTCTGGAACCATGGCATCTGCAGTCATGGGATCTCCTGAGTTGGAAGGGATCCACAGGGATCTTGTAGATTAAATGCTATTCCTTCTTAATCCCCTCCTGACCCACAATCTTCCAGGCATAATTTACATCCCCAGGTAGAGCTCTGCAAAATGGGTTCTGCTTCAGAAGTGCCTGTAGGCAATTTAAGGGCAAAATATTATGGTGGGTGTGTGAGGAACCCCTTCTCATCTGCAGTGCACGTGTACATGCAATGCATCAAAACATCTTTCTAGAAGAGAGGGGAGGTTTGAATAAGAGAGTACATCTGGGAGGATTTTGGTGCAGAAAGGTCGAGAGGTGGGATAGGAAGTTTCTGGTGAGCGTAAGTACTGTACACCTGAGGTATTCCTCCTGTTTGGTACTGCAGTGAAGAAACTTGTGATATTGGGGAACTAGCAGAGGTGGTCAGGATGCTCTGAAGTATAAAAGGATGACTTGTATTTTAGTTAGGACGTGGGTCCCCTACCAAGGTCCAGCTTGCACAGTGGCACACTGAGTTTAAGTTGAGCCTAGCACAGTGACACCTCTTTCCCTTTTGCCTTGTGTTTCAGGTGTCACTGGTCAGGATAACAGGCTGCATGTCTTGTGAGTGCATAAGTATCAGGCATATTTGTAGTGAAGACAAAATGTCTAGCATACAGCTACACAGTTGCATAATATAAGGGGTGAACAACTGGCTGACAGGTTGGGTTCAAAGGGTTGTATCAGGCTGGCAGCCAGTCACTAGTGGGATTCTCCAGGCCTCCATTTTAGGGCCAGTTCTCTTTAATGTTTTCATGAATGGCTTGGATGCAGGACTTGAAGGTATACTAAGTAAGTCTGGAGATGACACAATTTAGTGAGTGGAGCTGTTGACTCCCTTGAGGGTGGAGAGGCCTCGCAGAGAGCTCTTGACAAATTAAAGGACTGGGCAGTTAAAAACAATAAGAAGTTAACAAGAGCAAGTGACAGATTCTGCACCTGGGAAAGTGCATCCCTGGCTGTAAGTACAGACTGGGGGACAAGAGGCTGGAGAGCAGCCCTGCAGAAAGGGATCTGGGGGTTCTGGTTGAGGCAAGCTGAACATGACCAGCGGTGTGCCCTGGCAGCCACGAGGGCCAGCTGTATGCTGGGGTGCATCATGGCTGGTCAGTGTAGGGAGGGGATTGTCCTGCTCTGCTCTGTGCTGGTGTAAGTCCTCAATGAATGTGCAATTTTGGACACAACATATGGAAGACATAAAACTATTAGTGTCCAAAGGAGGTCTATGAAGATGGTAAAGGGTCTGGAGGGGAAGATGTATGAGGAGTGGCTGAGGTCCCTTGGTTTGCTCAGCCCAGAGCAGAGCAGGCTGAGGGGAGGCCTCATGGTGGCCTGCAGCTCCCTCACGAGGGGAGTGGAGGGGCAGGCGCTGAGCTCTGCTCTCTGGGGACAGCAACAGGACCTGAGGGAATGGCATGGAGCTGGGACAGGGGAGGGTCAGGCTGGGGGTTAGGGAAAGGTTCTGCACCCAGAGGGTGGTCGGGCACTGGGATAGGCTCCCCAAGGCAGTGGTCACAGTACCGAGCCTGCCAGAGTTCAAGACGCATTTGGGCAGCACTCTCAGATATGTGGTTTGGTTTTTGGGTGGTCCTGTGTGGAGCCAGGGCTTGGATTCCATGATCCTTGTGGGTCCCTTCCAACTCAGGATATTATGTGATTTGATAGTTCATAGAAAGGTCTGCACCGGAAAAGGCTTGCTCAGTATTTCGTAGCATCAAGCACTTTTAAAAGAAAAAAAAGTGAAGCTTGGTGTAGATTACATTTTTGGAAATGAAACTCTTGTTGCATGAGTTATTCCTACCAGATGACATGCATACTGATGTCATGTTCTGTTGTTTTTTGTTGTTTGTTTGTTTTGTTTTGTTTTTGTTTGCTTTCCTTTTCACCTATAGCATGAACAGATTAAACACCTTGCCAAGGGGATTTGGCTCTTTACCAGCTCTGGAGGTTCTTGACTTGACTTACAACAACTTAAATGAAAATTCTCTACCTGGAAACTTCTTCTATCTGAGTAAGAAACTTTTTCAAAAACTCTACAAATGTTCATGATATGGTGCTTTGCTTTCTGCAGTTTAAATTTATTTGATGGAGCTCAAACTCCAACAGCAATTTCCTGATATTTATGGTTTTCTTCTTTGAATGTGTCTTGAATATTTCTACTTAGCTCAGCAATATTTATCACTTACATCCAGTCAGCTGACACCATTGGACATGAGAAGACTTGGTTAGCAATGGTATGTCAGTTTTCTTCTGAGTAATATTTCCTTGGGCCCCATCCCCAGTTAAAATTTTGTGGATGTTTACAAGCTTCAGGGAATAATAAACTATTTTGCAAAGCAGTTGTATTTTAACTCTGAAAACAATTGTGTTCGTGATGGTTAATTAATGAAACAGTTTTAACAGCTTGTGGATGCTATAGTGACCAGTATGTTAAGAACAAACAAAAAACCACTAAGGTTAAAATTGGCACAGAATGGTAGAGCTCAGCTGACCTTTGAAGGTGTTAGGAAACATGGCCACGTGGTTAAAATTAAGATATTGTAATGCATATGTGCAAAAGGGCTGCATTATGGTTGCCTAAGCAACTTGAATTCTGGCACTTTCTGGCTTCCAGCAATTATGCCACCTTACTGGTCTTTTCCATGTGCTGTGCTGAAGTGACTTCAGGCTCAGTGCATAACCAGCAAAAATCATAAGCAAGGGGAGAGGAAGGAATGCTGCAGTCTGAGAAAGATTTTGTGATTGTAACCTGACAGAGGGAAATATTCAGTAAGTTTTATGAAAAATGGTCACATATAATGAAATAAAAAGAGGAGGAGTAAACTGCAGAAGAGAAATAGGGTCTCCTCTCTGTTGGGGAGGAGAGGTTTTGCTGACCTGACAACCTTTCTTCCTGCTGCACCCAACAGTTCTTTGCGGATCTCCATTTTCATTTTTTTTTTTCCCCTGTCATGCCATGTTTATTCAGTAATAGCCAGCTTACATAGTTGTGCTAGGTCATTTTTTTAACCTTGTGAATTTCATAGACTTAAGTATGGAAATTACAAACTCTACAATTCGAGCCTGTTGTATTACTCTTTTTTAAGGTCTCTTTCCCAGCCTTATGCTGTGCTTTCTGTAGAGCTTAATATAGACATGTATTTGTCCAAAAAACTCAGGTGATTTTTTTATGTTTGTTTAGGATGCAAATTGGTGTAATAAATGAGAATCAAGGGGGCTAGTAAAGAGTAATGACTCTGTTCTGACAGCTGAGTATTGAGACTGTATGCCAAAACCTGCCAGAGTCTACCATTGTAGAAATTGTTAATTGTGTCAGTCCTTTTGAATATAGATGTTTTCCTGAACTCACCAACAATACAATAAGCCAGTAAATCTAAGTTTGACCTGCTTGTTATTATTGTGAGCCCTGGGTATGTCAAAGGCTTTTCACCAAGTCAGGGTTATTAATCAAACCTGACTCCCTTTTATTGATTAGACCTCAAATGGTTGGGTTATGTGCCACCCTGTTTATATATTGCTATTTAATTTGCAGCCACCCTGCGTGCACTCTATCTAAGTGACAACGATTTTGAAATCCTGCCGCCAGATATTGGGAAGCTCACAAAGTTGCAGATAGTAAGTAATTTATCTAAATTCTTGGAAAATCAATTCACTTTTGCAATGCTTGTAGGAATAGAATCTAGTCAATTTGAGAAGTAGTGGGGTATGTTTGCAGGAATAGACCACTACACCTGGAACTGTTTCTTGTTTATCAGCAGACACTTGTAAATAAATTGGAAGAATTGAGTGTTTAGAAGAAGGGTGGGGGTGAGAGAGTAGAGTTCTGTTCTAGGCTTCTTTAGGGTAACCAAAAATTGTTCTGACTACTTTATGTTCGTTCTTAGCTGAGTCTTAGAGACAATGACCTGATATCACTGCCTAAAGAAATCGGGGAGCTCACGCAGCTTAAAGAACTTCATATCCAGGGAAATCGTCTTACTGTGCTGCCACCAGAACTAGGTAAGATGATCATTTATTTATTTATTTAATATTTATTTAAATAATAGCCATGCATTGTCTTTCCTCTGAAATGAAATCACTTCTAAGAAATGATTATGCTTGTTATCATTGCTGCTAAGTACTTGTTTTCCCCCAAGAAACTCTCACTATTTCACTCCTACTGGATGTGCAGGAGGGGCCAGAATATGTTGTGTGTTCCGTTTTTTAGACTTTTACATGTTAATGTATTCCTTGTGTATTAGTACACCTGGCTGCCAATCTATGTATAGCATCCTGATTTATATAATATATAATAAATATATATGTATCTCTCTTAACCTGTTCTTGTCTCTGACTGGATTTTGGAACACTATTTGGATCAGCAAAAATGTTAAGCAGAAATGACAGCAGTGTTAAGTGGCTTCTTTGTGACTGTTCTCGTAAAAAGGGAAGTTTGGTCAACTCAAGTAAAATATCATAAGTAAAAGATTAGAAGAATTCTTCTTTTTCTTTTTTTTTTTTCCTTTTCAGTAGCCTATCTTTTTTAGTGATTTTTTTTTGAGCTTTTTAAAGCAGTGGAACTGGTGTACAGTAAATGGCCATTATCACAAAGTCCTGTAAATGCTTCTTTTATATATAGTAGGTTCTTTCAACTTAGAAGGTAGAGTTTTTCTTTGAAACTTAAGTATCGATTTTGATGAATTTGCACTGAGATACTCCATTTTATGTGAGAGACATTAACTTCCATAAATGCTATGTCCATTTGCCCAAGCTAAAATTTGGTTTACGATCTTTTATGACAATCTTTAAGAATATTTTTGTTTGACATAATGTGGTAGTGTTAATTACCTGTTGCTGAAACACCCATTGCACAGGAATTATTCCTTGTTTTTTGTTATTTTGGGCTGTTACATAGGGATGCTTCCTTGTTTCTATATATATCTTCCAAATAATACTCCTAAAACCAAAAAATATATTGACTGAATTTAGCATGATAAAGTAAAATTATTTGTTGTCACAGGAACTTGTTTCAACCCATTAAAGCGGCAACTGTGTGCATAAATGTGGCAGTCTGCAATATATGCTTTTTGTTTCATATAACAAAGGAAAAATGACTGCTTTTCCTCTGAGGTGTGGCAAGAGATGTGTTTATTTTGACTCTTATTTGTTTACTCAACGTGATTTTTTTTTTGCTTTTATCAATGCAGCAGACAATATGAGTTTTTTAATTATTATTTTATTTTTACCACCAGTAGATGAAAGTTGCTGATTTCTTTAATTTCAGATGCTTATTCCATGACACTGAGGTATATGTCCTTGAGCTTTTTTAGTCACATTTATAAAGTCTCTTTCAACTGCAGTCATATTTGAGAAGTGTGTGGTATCTGTAAATGTACTTTTCTGTAGATTCCTAAATTACAGGCTTGTTTGTTTTTTTTGTTTTTTGTTTTTTTTTTTAACCAAAAAGTGGAAGTAAAATGCTGGACTGAGTCTAACCACCTTCTGTGGCTAATTAAATGTTCTAAATGTGCTGCTGCCTTACAAATATAACAGCAAATCCACTTTAAATGGTTTTTACTGTCATTGTCCAAACCAAATGGAAACGCTTGAAACAAAATTTATGATATTTGCTTTGCACTGACCTCCAAAATTCCAGATAGACAAGGGAAGAGTTTTTCCTTTTTAGTTAACATTTGTTTGCACTATAGCACACTAGTGTAATCTGGTAGGAAAAGGGCTTGCAATTTTGAACTGCCTGATCAAAATGCAGACAAGATGCATCGACACAGCTACAGTGCTTGTCAGCTCTGTTCTTTATTATTCAACTTCTGTTCTATGAACTATACTTCTCTGCTCACGTCTTAATTTCCCAAATGCGTCTCATGGTCTTACCAGGATCCTCACTCCTGATCAGTTGGCCTGATTTTGTTGCAGTCTATGTCAAATATTTAAAATAGCTCAAATTTGGGGGTGTATTTCCAAAGACTACTGAAGTCTGGATTTGTAACTTCTGTAGCTTGGAAGCATATTTTCTGTGCGAAGAAACATTCTGCCTGCTTGTTAGACATCTAGGGAAACATTCAGGGAAGGGAGTTCAGTAAATGGGGCACCAGACTGGGCTTGGGCTTCTTTGAGACCAAGTGGGAGCAGGCCACAGGCAGGCATGAATCTACTGCATGATTAGACAAAGTCACTTCATCTCTGCAGCCCTGTTTTCCTTTTGCAAATGAGGACAATTTAGGGACTCACACCTTTGCAGACAGTTTTAAAATCTGCCCATGAGAGGTGGTGTTACACCTAATGAGTGGACTGCTAATTCCATGGGTGCCATTTGTGGAAAAAAGTATTTTAGCTACTGCTTGAGTTCTCCCTCCTAAATTTTTAAAATTGAATTATAATGTAAGAATTATCCAAATACTTTGTGCTGTGCATGTTGAATAAATAGCTTTTCAATGAGCAGGTCTGATTTGCATTAATTGGAGGCACTGCTGGTCCATTTAAAGTAAACAATCTTTCCTCTCTCATTATCGCTTTCTTAATTAAAGGTGCTGAAGGCTTGTGACTGGCTTATGAGTGGTAGTAGCTTGGGCAGTGGTGGGCAACAGTGAGTCATTAGATGGTCATTTACCAGGGAGATGGGCACAGCATCAACACCCGAATAAAACAGGATATTTGAGTGAGAAGGGAGGGAGTGCAGTAAACCGAATGTAAAAGGTAGGGGAAAAAAAAAAAAGCATAAAGAGTAGGGTATGAGAAGAGGATCACAATTGGGTTCACAATTTTGGAACTGAGAGAGAGAGAACCCCATGCAGCCTGTGTTAATTTCACCTGACATGACAGAGTTGGCGTGAATCAGTCAGAGGGTGGTGCAGATCAGCCTTTTATCCTCGTCTGCATTTAGCAGAGTACCTGCCATTAATTTAGGCAAAAATTTCTTTCCCAGGAGGAAGTGAGGAGACTGGAACAGTGTATTGGTTCTCGTGGTGAGGATGCTTGTCTGTAAATACAGTATGTGTGGATGATGAATGCAGGAAATGGCCGGGAGTAGGTGGGTAGAATTCACAGCTTGTTTTTATCGTTTGTCTCTCAAAACCCCGTTCATGAGGAATGGTGGTGGGCAGTCATATATAAACTTTAAAGAGGCACTGGCATTTTTTTCCCTAGCATTTAAAAGGTTATGTGCTGCATTGTGAGACAAATAAATCATGATTCACTGCAACAACAGAGTTGCAGTCAGTTATATAAATTGCCAAGGAAGCACTAAATCTGTCACTTTGTGTATTCTGACCATTTAACAATTGGAATTGTGTTTGGGAAGAAAGCTGAGTAGAAGCAAGAACCGCGTAAAGTGGCAGATGCAATTAGTAAGATCAATGATGGTGTTTTAAGTTCATTGTATGGTCATCTGGGTGGACCTATATGTGCTGCGGGAAAGGTTTTCCTAGCAGAGTCAGCAGTGTGAGAGTGGTACACGCTGCACAATTATTCACAAAGTTGTAGCCAAATGCAACTTACTGCCCAGAGCATGGCACTAACACATCTATAGGTTTGTGCTTTTGATGTGGAAGCAAATGGCTTGATTTCTAAAACCCAGATTCTAACGTGGGCCCTGTTCATTACCCTGCCATCACCACGTGTGTGCACATACATACAGGGTTCTCTCTTCTTTTGACAAGGAAGAAGCAGAGTGATTTCTAAGGATACATGTTTAATTATCGTATTTTTCCAAAACTGAATGTTGGAAGCAGTGGCTTTTAAGTATACTATTCAATATGGTTCTAGTTTATCAAATAAACTTCAGGTGAAGAGAGGCAGTGATAAAAACAGTGAAGTTAGATGCGTGCTTGAAAAGTAGAAAACTCAAGCTCTGTAAAACAAACAAACTTATTGGGGTAAGTAGCCATGTTCCCTTTTAGGGAGGGTAGAACACTTCTGGAAGTTAAATCTGAGTGTCAGGAAGATTAAGTAATTCTTTCATCATTTCTTAATTATGAACAGCTAATTATATTCTGTGAATAAAAGATTGGCTTTAAATAGAAAGTTCAAGGAATCCTGGCAAAAAGTCTCAATATTTTCATTGCAGAAGGACATTTCAGAGATTAGGCTTTTGAAATGACTCTCGAATTTGTGAATGGACATTACATTATGTGAAGTAGTTGCTGCAGTTATTTGCTGAAGTTAATATTAATTGAAATAGCAGTTGACTTAGGTAATTATAACAGGCATGTGCAAACATAAGAATCACATGTTTCACAAAAGATAGTTCTTTTCTAAATATGCCAAACTTTTCTCCTTTCAGTATGAACTACTGCTGCACTCTGCTTGTGTCACAGCACGGTGCTCTTCACGTCTGCAAATGCAGGTGCTGCGATGCTTGTTGGAAGTCAGAATGTCTTGAGGCTTTCTGGACAGCAGCTCTGAGCACTGGAACAGCTAATTGATACCTTCCCAAGTTAAAAAATAAGTACCTGCTTCTACTTTTGGGACTAAGGCTAAGGTGTTGTAAGAGAATAAGGAGCTTTTTTAAACCTAGCGGTAGCTAAATAAAAGGACTTGTTGTCAAGGACTGTTGATAGGACAGTTACTAGTGAAGGAATAACAGAAAAATGTACTTAGCGAAATAGGACACAGATTATTTATGTAAGAAAATTATTTCACAAAGTCTGTGAATGTTGTAGTTGTTTCTCATTCCAAGCTTAGTTTAAGGTTAAAAACAAACAAACTTTTCATTTAGTTAGAAACTTGACTGGGTCTATGGTGAGCTTTGTGAGAGTGAAGGTGCACGGGAAGAGATGAGAACCCTGTAAAGTTCCATTATACCCAGAACAATGTTTTCTGTGACCCATTGTTTAGATTTAAAGCACTGGCATTCACTTCTTTACCCTGCTGTAATTCTTGATGAACTTTCCAAAATTCAAATTTGACCTTGTGTTAGTTTTTAAAATACTCAGATCCTACTATCACTTTTCAGATGACTGCATCTAGGCTACAGCGTGTAGCCTCTGAAGCTTGTACTGTGA